ATACATGAAAATGTGAAAGCGACTTCGGAACTGGGTAATAGGCAGAGATTGGAACAGTTTGGAGGGCTCAGAAGAAGAAAGGAATATGTGGGAAAGTTTGGAACCTCCTAGAGAATTGTTGAATGACTTTGGCCAAAAGCCTGATAGCGATATGGACAATAAGGTCCAGAATGAGGTGGTCTCAGATGGAGATAAGGAACTTGTTGGGAACTGGAGCAAAGGTGACTCTTGTTATGTTTTAGCAAAGAGACTCGGTGGCATTTTGCCCCTGCCCCAGAGATTTGTGGAACTTTGAACTTGAGAGAGATGACTTAGGGTATCTGGTGGAAGAAATTTCTAAGCAGCAAAGCATTCAAGATGTGACTTGGGTGCTGTTAAAGGTGTTCGGTTTTTTGTTTTTTTTTTTTTTTTAGCTTTTCTGTATTTTTTAAAAAATATACTTTAAGTTCTGGGGTACATGTGCAGAACGCACAGATTTGTTGCATAGGTATACACGTGCCATGGTGGTTTGCTTCACCCATCAACCTGTCATCTACATTAGATATTTCTTCTAATGCTATCCCTTCCCTAGCTCCCCATCCCCCAACAGGCCCCAGTGTGTGATGTTCCCCTCCCTGTGTCCATGTGTTCTCATTGTTCAACTCCCACTTATGAGTGAGAAAATGCGGTGTTTGGTGTTCTGTCCTTGTGATAGTTTCCAGCATCATCCATGTCCCTGCAAAGGACATGAACTCATCCTTTTTTATGGCTGCATAGTATTCCATGGTGTATATGTGCCACATTTTCTTTATCCAATCTATCATTGATGGGCATTTGGGTTGGTTCCAAGTCTTTGCTATTGTGAACAGTGCCGCAACAAATGTCTTTATAGTAGCATGATTTATAATTCTTTGGGTATATACCCAGTAATAGGATTGCTGGGTCAAATGGTATTTCTAGTTCTAGATCACTGAGGAATTGCCACACTGTTTTCCACAAGGGAAACAGAGCATAACAGTTTAGAAAATATGCAGCTTGACTATGTGATAGAAAAAGAAAAACCCATTTTCTGAGGAGAAATTCAAGCAGGCTGCAGAAGTTTGCATAAGTAACTAGGAACCAAATGTTAATCCCCAAGACAATGGGGAAAATGTCTCCAGGGCATGTCAGAGGACTTCCTGGCAGCCTCTCCCATTACAGGCCTGGAGGCCTAGAAAAAATGGTTCTGTGGGCCATGCCCAGGGTCCCTGTGCTGTGTGCAGCTTAGGGACTTGGTGTCCTGTGTCCCAGCCGCCCCAGCCATGGCTGAAAGGGGCCAAAGCAGAGCTTGGGCTGTGACTTAAGAGGGTGCAATCTTTAAGCCTTGGCAGCTTCCATGTGGTGTTGAGCCTGTGGGTGCACAGAAGTCAAGAAATGGGGTTTGGGAACCTCTGTCTAGATTTCAGAAGATGTATAGAAACACCTGGATGCCCAGGCAGAAGTTTGTTGCAGGTGGAGCCCTCCCGGAGAAACTCTGCTGGGGCAGTGCAGAAGGGAAATGTAGGGCCAGAGCCCCCACACAGAGTCCCTACTGGGGCACTGTCTAGTGGAGCTGTGGGAAGAAAGCCACAGTCCTCCAGACCCCAGAATGGTAAATCCACTGAGAGCTCACACTGTGCACCCGGAAAAGCCACAAACACTCAACACCGGTCCATGAAAGTAGCTGGGAGGGAGGCTGCTTTGTTACTTATGCAAATTCCTGCAGCCTGTACCCTGCAAAGCCACAGGGGTGGAGCTGCCCAAGACCATGGGAACTCACCTCTTGCATCAGCACAACCTGGATGTGAGACATGGAGTCAAAGGAGATTATTTTGGAACTTTAAGATTTGACTGCCCTGCTGGCTTTTGGACTTGCAAGGGGCCTGTAGTCCCTTTGTTTTGGCCCATTTTTCCCATTTGGAAGGACTATATTTACCCAATGCCTGTAACCCCCATTGTATCTAGGAAGTAACTAACTTTTTCTTGATTTTGCAGGTTCATAGGTGGAAGGGACTTGCCTTGTCTCAGATGAGACTTTGGACTGTGGACTTCTGAGTTAATATTGAAATTAATTAAGACTTTGGGGGATTGTTGGGAAGGCATGAGTGGTTTTGAAATGTGAGGACATGAGATTTGGGAGTGGTGAGGGGCGGAATGATATGGTTTGCCTCTGTGGCCCCACCCAAATCTTATCTTGAATATACTCCCATAATTCCCACCTGTTCTGGGAGGGACCTAGTGGGAGATAATTGAGTCATGGGAGTGGTTTCCCCCATACTCTTCTCATGGTAGTGAATATGTCTCAGGAGATCTGATGGCTTCGCTTTTCTCTCATTCTCTCTCTTGCCACCACCATGTGAGATGTGCCTTTCACCTTCTGCCATGATTGTGAGGCTTCCCCAGCCACATGGAGCTGTAAGTCCAATAAGCCTCCTTCTTTCGTAAATTGCCCAGTCTCAGGTATGTCTTTATCAGCAATGTGAAAACGGACTAATGCACCTCCCTTTCCGGCTGCTGTGTTGTCAGCAGCGTCCATCCCCTTACAGTTGCAGGACTGACAGCTTCAGCCTCTTGCTGGCTGTTGGCTGGGGGTGTGCTCAGCTCCCAGAGGCCGCCCCCAGTGCTGGGCTTTGTGAGGCTGAGCGTGGCTGCTGGGTCCCTTGCAGCTGGCAGGGGACAGACTCCAGACGGGCTCTGCGGTCTTATGTAACATAACCACACTAACGTTTATGTGTAGCTGGTTAGCTTTGTCATTTTCTGTTCATCACAAGCAAGTTGCAGGGAGGGGATCATCAAGAGGTGAATGTTGAGAGGCAGCGATCACAGGCCACCCAGAAAGCCTGTCTGTCTCACCGTGAAACAAAGACAGGAGATTATGTGAGGCACGAAGTGCTGTGGGAAAACCGAGGACACAGACGCAGGGCTTGGGCACAGTTCCCACGGTGGGCACAGCTGGGCCCTTCCTGGTGGCGTTTTCTCTCTGTTTCTTGGTCCCAGCTGGTTCCCCTTGTGGTGTGGCCAGGGACCTGTGGTGACATGGTGGCAGGCCATGCTGCTCACTGCGTTCAGGGCCTCCTGCTCTAAGCACTGAGTGAGACTGCACTTCCCTGCACCTTGGAGCTCCTCTGGCCAACGAGATGTGAACAGAGGTGACGTGTGTGTCAGCCGTAAAGAAGCCTTGAAGACCAGTGAGCATCCCCTTCCCCTTCCACCTGCCGCGGCAAACCAGAGCATTTCAGACAGTGGAGACTGGCAGATGAGCTCCCTGAATGAGCTGGTGTGAACCGGAGCCCCGGGACCTGGGCCGACACATTTGAGAGCAGGAGCAGCTGCAGTTTCCAGCTACTGAGAGGTGGAGATTGTTTGTCACAGCCACACGGTCTGTCCCACTGACTGATGCAGTGATTCCTTCCCAGGTCAGTTTCATAATATAATTGCATATTAGGTGATTATACTGTAATATAATAGTAAATTGTATAATTATATACAATAATCGTATATTATTATGTGATTACATACTGTAATATAATTTTCAACATAGAAAAAGCTACTAGACAGAAACACAACCTTAAAGAGAAAATGTAACGTAAAGACAAAACACACAATGCCAATTAAAGACCCCGTATGGGAACCTGCTGACCCCCTGCTTCTACCTGCCGGCTGGCTGGGAAGGGGTGCAAACCAGAGCAGCCTCCTTGGACCCCAGAGCAGAAGCCCTTTGCGGAGCTGGGTGGAAACGCCCTGTGCTGGGCCACCGCCCCTCTACTCTCTTAGTGAGCGAGGAGTGGCTGGGGATGCACAGGAGCTGCTCTGCATTTGGGCTCTGCATTGCAGTAGAGTCTGTGCCTTGCGGCGCGGCAGGGCTGACCTGAGGCAGCTGCGGTGGAGATGGGCCAAGAGTGGGAGGAGGGACTGAGTGGATTTGGCGAATGGTTGGGTGCGGGGCTTGAAAGGAGACATCAGAGAGGATTCCTGGACTTCTGGCTGTGAGGGTGGGGGGCAGCTGGTGGAGCCACGGACACAGTGAGAATGCATGAATGGCCACGGGTGACCTGCCCAACCCAGGAGAGTAGGTGCCACGGCAAGGTGGGGTACCTGCAGCCACGTGCAGCTAAGGGGTCCCAGCTTTGTGCGGGCCTCAGAGATGGCTCACTCGGCATGTTTCACTGGACGTTAAATTTATATAAGAAGGTGGCAGTCGGAACTCTGGTTGGGGAAAGAACAATCTTGTAGAGGTGTCCTAGCATAGTAAATTGTGGTGAGTTTTCCAAGCAGGTTTGTTCCGTGTTCTTTCACATGTCATGCAATGGGATAATGGTGATAATGTCACCATGGATGTTGGTGGGGTGAAGTGGATGACACCTGAATTCCTGGGCGCAAAAGCGCACATTCTCCCAGAGACACACATGCCCAGATGCCCGTGCTGCGTGCTGGGCTTCGGGTTTTGGGCCATGGGGACCCCTTGGAGGAGGCAATCCTGTTTCTGCTGGAGCCTCAGCTGGCAGCTGGCGTCCAGAGCACTTCCTGCCTTTCCTTGCAGAGAAGGTCCACATAGGCCCGTGGGGGCTGGCTGCTTCCTTGGTAAAGGCCGGGCATCCCTGGCACCCTGGACACTGGCCACTGTCACACAATTTGCATGCGCTTCCACTCCAGCTCTGAAGAGGCTAGCTCCACTTCCGAATGTCTTGTGCCCGAGGATTTGTTCAACTTTCTTCATCCGTGAAACGGGCTCCCCATGCGCATGGGGACGTTGTCTTTGGGAATTATTCCTGGTGCCTGCCTGGGCCTTGAGGGCTGGGATGGATCTCTGTGCTCCTCATGTAAAGAAAACCTCAGCCTTGGGACAGCCTTGCTTCTTGTGCAACTCTGATGCGGGGCCCAGCCTCCAGTGGCCAGGGAGTCCCTGTCTCAATCGACGAGCACTGCCCAGACCACTGTGTCCCCTTTCCAGACAGGGCGAACTTGCCACAAGGTGAAGGAGCTGCCTGGGATCCTTCCTGCAGGACATTCTGTCACAAGGAGAACGCTAGAGATGAAGTTGGTGAAAACGCTGCTTTGCAGGCAATCTGAAATTCTGGGTAAGCTACAGGCCCCTGGAGCAGCAGGCTCAGCACCTAGACTGCAGCCCCTTGGGCTGGGCTGTGTGGGAGGGGACTTGTGTGTCTCTGATGTGCCTGTGGGCACTCCACCTGGCCTTAGGCTCCCAGCCTAACCAGCTACTCCAGGTTCCACGCTGCCTTAGACCTCCCCAGCCTTCCTCACCAAGGCACTGACGCTCAGGGTCCCTGGACACATATCTGTGGGGCAGGGGGAGGTGGAGCAGTTTCCATCGTGCTCAGGGTGGAAAGGAAGCCCTTCAACCACCAGGAGCTCTAACTCTGGGGTTGGGACATCAGCTACTTGGCAGAGGAGGCATCTCATTTTGGATCCTCTAGTCTTCATAAGTTAGGAGAGCCCCCCGCCCCCTGGCCAAAATTGGGAAAAGCTTGTTGCTTTTCTCTTTAATTCTTAACAGGTTTTTGAGAACTGGGCAGATAGACTGATTGTCTTTGGGCTAAATAGTTTGAAAAGCATTGAACTGGTAGTTGGAACACTTGCATTTTGCTGAGATGTCCCCCTGCAGCCACCGTGAGACAGACGCCCGGAGAGGAGGCAGAAACCTTTCTCCACAGCCAAACACGCTGTGAAGAGCGGAGACAGGTTATACAGGAGCGGTGTTTTAATAGGAAACCCAGAAATAGAATGTGTTCAGTTTGATAATCGTTTTAAGCTTTTCTTCCCCCTGTAAATCACGGCAACTTGGTTCAATATTGTGAGTCATGGATGGCGAGGAAGAGTGAAGTGTTATTGTCAGATAGTGGAGTGAGATCTCTTTATTGGCTGTGGATCCCTGAAGCCTGTGCCCAGCAGGAAATCAATGTCCATCTTTCTGGCTTCACTGCCCCCGCGATCCTCATTTTCCGCTTGTTTGTGTGTGGCTCTGATTTGTTTTTAGGTCCGACGTTGCCTCTTGCAGCCTGCTTCCAGAGCTCCATTACAGCTTCGGTGAAATCTCCCCTGGCCCACAGGATCATCTCAGCATTGACAGTGCACCTCACAAGGCTGGAATGCACTTGGCCGCTCCTGGACTGCTGCCTGCAAAGCAAAAATCCCCTCTACCAGGATGTGGTGGGCTTGAAAACTCTTGCTGTTCTCCTGCAATTCCAATTTTGCATGGGTGTCTCTCTAGTCCCCTCCTAGTCAGCCTCTTCTGGACAACGGGCCAACATTGTGGACACCTCTTGAGTCACTGACCCCGAAGCTGCATTGGGGTCTGGAGTGGGGACCCGGGCATGTTCTCAGGGCAGGCTGAGCCATGCTCTCAGGATGTGAGGAGGGAGCTGTGTCAGGCAGACTGACAGGCCATGGGGCCTGCTTCTGGGGCCACAGGGCTCTAGGGACCCGTCAGTGAGGTGTGGGGGCACCAACAGACCCAGTCTGGGTGGGCAGCCAGCAGCCCAGAGCCAGATGCAGCTGTACCTGCCTGAGTGCGTGATGTGATGCTGAGCCCTGCGATGCACGGGAAGTCAGTTCGGTGTTCCGGAAAAGATTCCTTCACTGATGAAAAGAGACAGGAAGGGAGGACCTCTTTTTTCCCCTGGATATGGTCATATCTCGAAGTGACCTCTGGAACAAGCAGGTGTTATGCCAGCAGGGGCCCCACATTAGCCAGAGGTGCAGGGCTCCCCCCAGGCCCATCACTTTGACTCTTAGTCTAGAAAACAGAAGTGCGGAGCTCAACGGCTGCTAGCATCCCCTCATCTCACCCACATTTAAAAACCGTTTCTCATGGAAAATTTCAAATATTTACAAAAATAGGGAGACTTACTGAATAGGGGGAAGAAATGGGCACCCATCAGCCAGTTTCAGCACTGAGATAATTCATGGCCAATCTTACCCATTTTCCCAAACCAATTTGCTTTAAAGCAAGTTCGGGATATCATGTCTGTAAAAACAAACACACAGACAAAAACAAAACAAAACAAAACAAAACAAAACTTGCATGAATATCATATGTGAAAAGGCAACAATTCTTTTCATATTTTTAAATTTTAAAATTATTTCATTTCATTTTATTTGTGGAGACAGGATCTCACTATGTTACCCAGGCTGGTCTTGAACTCCTGGGCTCAAGCAATCTCCATGCCTCAGCCTCCTGAAATGCTGGGATTACAGCTGTGAGCCACCATGCCTGGCCCAATAATTCTTTAATATCTTCAAATATGCAATGTTTCCATTTCTTTGCTTTTTGACAGTTTGTTTTTGTGTTTTATTTTTAAATAACAGCTTTGTTGAGAAACTATTTGAATAACATTTACTCTTTTAAACTGTGCAATTGAGTGACTTTTAGTACATGCATGAACTTGCGCAACCACGACCACTATCTGATTGCAGAACATTTTCATCACCCCCAAAAAAGAACCCTGTTTCCATGATCAGTGCCTCCCTGCACATCCCCAGCCCCAGTTTCGGGGTGATGGGACTGTCGTTCTGTTCGGAGCATTCTGTGTGAGGTGGGAAGCCTTGGTTCTCTCCGCCTCTCTGAGTTCTGTGTGAGGGGTGAGACCCTGGTCCTCACTGCCTCTCCGAGTCTGCATAGTCATTTCCAGTTTGTGTGAATCTTCAGGATCCCGTGACAGTGACATGTTGAGCTCACTTGATGTGTCCCTTAAGCTTCTGAGGCCTTCAGGTTTCCCATCCACCTTTCATCGGTTTGTGTACTGTCTTGCGGTTGTTGCTTCCTGATAATCTATGGAACCACCGTCCCATCCGTGGACGCTTGTTTCCAGAAACGTCGCGATGTGGTGCATGATTGTGTGCATAACTCAGCGGAAGAGCTCTCCGAGACCTAGAACCAGTAGAGCAGCCTCAAAACCCAGGGGCGCAGGAGCCCTTTGACCCAACAGAAGAGCTCTCTGAGACCTAGAGCCACGAGAGCAGCCTAAAGAGGCGCAGGAGCCATTTGCTGGCTTGTCTTTGCCTTCTGTTGCTCATTCATTGAGTCTCTTTATTAAGAATTTGTAGCAAAGTTCCCTGGAACAATAAGCTTTCTCTTATAAACTCAGCTAATTTTATGGTATTCAGAAATGTTTTTCATAAGCACCTCATTGGAAAAATATTCTTCAGCAGTCTCTGCCAGTAAATTGACATGAAAAAGGAATAGAATTCACTCGACAACTTTTCCATGGTTTAATCCATTGCCCTGATTTTGAGACTTTAGGAAGAGCCAGCCAATAACACGAATCACAGTGTGTCATCTAAAAGGCTCTAAATTACAGTGCAGCAGGACGCCAAGCATGAGACAAACAATGGTCCTCTTGCCAAGAAGCAACCACCACCAGCCATTCCCAAGGGCCCAGACTCACGAATTCCACCCAGGCACTGATGAACACTTTCTTCATTGCTCAGGCCTGCAAGAGTGGTAGACCCTTAGCAAATGAGTCGGATTGAAGAAATGAATGAATTTGTGCACTCACAGTGGCTCCCATCCCAACCAGTGTGGCTCTAATGGGATCTTCCGTAGCCCTGTTTGTTCAGGTGCCCACCTTCCCTATTCGTGGCCTCCAGAAAGGGTGACTGTATCCTCAGCTCCAAGGGTCAGTCCAGTTGGCTCAAGGCAGTCACTATGATCTCATCCCCGCCCCAGTGATCGCTCGAGTTTGTATTAGTTATCTCTTGCTACCTAACCAGTTGACTTAAGCTTTGGCAGCTTAAAACAACACACCATTATCTCTCAGAGATTCTGTGGGCTGTGGACGTGGGCAGAATTTACATGGTTCCTCTGCTTCTGTATCTCCTTACAAGGCCACAGAGTGTCAGACAGGGCTACAGTCTCATCTGAAGGCTCTACTGGGGAGGGAACTGCTCCCAAGGTTACTTCTGAGGCTGCAGTCAGAATTCAGTTCCTTGAGGAAGTTTGGACTGAGAGTTTCAGGACCTTGCTGGTTGCTGCCTGAGTGTGTGATGTGATGCTGAGCTGAGATGCATGGGAAGTCAGTTCAGTGTTCCGGAAAAGAGTCCTTCACTGATAAAAAGACGCAGGAAGGGAGGGCCCCTTTTTCCCCGGACATGGTCATATCTCAAAGTGACCTCTGGAACAAGCAGATGTTACGCTAGGCTGAGGATGAAGCCAACAGGGAAGGGTGGAGCTGGGGTGAGCAGAGGAGTGGAACCATGCTGGGCAGGGGAGGGGAACTGCAGTGAACAAGGGAGAGGAATGGAACTGAGCAAGGGAGGGGAACCGCACTGAGCATGGGAGGGGAACTGCACTGAGCAAGGGAGGGGAACCGTGCTGGGCAGGGGAGGGAAACCATGCTGGGCAGAAGAGGGGAACCGTGCTGGGCAGTTCCCCCTACCTGTAGGCTTCCAGTGTGGGTGGGAAAATAAGTCTATGTTGGGTGGAACAAATTTGAGTCACAGCCTCCTGTTGCTTGCAGCCAAAAATCCCTAACTGCTATATCTTGTGACCGTGTTCTAAATCTTCCTTATGTACCATTTTGGTGGCGTTTGAATCCTGTTAACCAACCAAACTTGCCAGCAGCATGTGGGACAGCTTCTGGGCTCCTTGGGATGGAGTTTGATCACTACCATTACATCAAATTAGTCAAGAATGGGTTAATAGTTTCCATTACAATTAAATAGCTACATTTGGTTCTTAGACTCCATTTTTCTTCCATGTTTAGTTGACCATCTTCTGCTGTGCTCTGCAACATAGCTAGGTACAGACAGCAGGGTGGTTGAGAGGACAGTGAGTATTTTTTGTTGTTGTTGTTGTTGTTTTTTTTTTGTGAGATGGAATCTCGCTCTGTCGCCCAGGCTGGAGTGCAGTGGCGCGATCTGGGCTCACTGCAAGCTCCACCTCCCATGTTCACGTGATTCTCCTGCCTCAGCCTCCCAAGTAGCTGGGACTGCAGGCACCTGCCATCACACTGGCTAATTTTTTGTATTTTTAGCAGAGACGGGGTTTCACTGTGGTCTCGATCTCCTGACCTCGTGATCTGCCCGCCTCATCCTCCCAAAGTGCTGGGATTACAGGCATGAGCCACCGCACCCGGCCGAGTAGTTTTATATAAGAGGAGAGAGTGGGAGAAACAGAGAGAGGAGACAGACAGAGTAAGAGAGAGAGAAATAAAGGGAGGTCACCTATCTGTATCACCTGCTGAACTGCATTGGCAATAGGCTGTGTGACTTGGATATTTCAGTTCCAGAAACAGCTCTTTAAGGATATTGATCCAGTTTTCCTGTGAGGTAATAGCTGTAGGGAAATGGAATGCTTCTTGGAGCTCAGGATTTGAACGCAGTTTGGTCTGGGGTCAAAGCCTGTGCTCTCAGGCACTACCACAGCTTCCCCTTCTATGAGCTCCCTGTGCACATTTAGAGCACCATGCAAGCGAGAGGCCCACCGGCAGGGATTGTGCCAATGTGTGTATGTGTTTGTGTGTGTGTATGTGTGTGTGTATATGTATGTGTATATATATATTAACATAAACATATGCATCTTATGAAAAATACTGCTGAGTATTGTATTAGGGTTCTTCAGAGAGGCAGAACCTATATATCTATATATGTAAATAGATATAGACAGATAGATAGATGTAGATGTATGAGAAGGGGGTTTCTTAGGAGAATTAGCTTGTGTGGTTCTGGAAGCTGAGAAGTCCCATGATAGGGACAGGTCCTCGGCAAGTGGAGACCCAGGGATGCCAATGGTGCAACTCCATCCAAGTCTGAAGACTCCAGAACCAGAGAAGCTGATGGGGTAATTTTCAATTTGAGGCCAAAGGCCAGAGAACCTGGGAGGCCACTGGTGCAAGTGGGATTATAAAGGCCAGAGAATGAGGAGTTCTGATGTCGGAGGGAAGAAGTGGAGTGTCCCAGCTCTGGAAGAAAGAGCAAATTCACCTCTCCTCTGATTTTTTGTTCTCCCCAGGCCCTCTGCTGACTGAATGATGCCCCCCAGCATTGGGTCTTCCTTACTCAGTCCACTGATTCAAATGCTGATCTCCTCTGGAAGCGCCTCACAGGCACACCCAGAAGCAATGCCTTACCAGCTATCTGGGCATCCTTTAACCCAGCCAAGGTGGCACTTAAAATTAACCTTTACAAGCGTCACAAAAAATAAGGTGTGTTAGTTTAGAAACATTTTCCCATCTGCATGTGTTTTATGTCTGAACTACTGAGTGGCCAACACAGGGAAGACCCTGTCCACATGGAGCTTCTGTTCTAAAGGGCAGTGACATCACCAGTCCAGGATGGAGAGCAATGAGGAGGCTGCCTGAGACAGGTGGTTGGAGATCTCCCTGGAGGAGACTATATTTGAGCCAAAATCTAAAGGATAAGATTGAGCCAGAGGGTGGAGAGGGCAGAGTCTTGGGGATGGTGAGGGTTTCATTCCAAGAACTATGAGGAGTCACTAAAAGTTTCAAAAATACAGACATTTGGAATTTCTGAAAAAGATGAGTTGATTCTCACGACTTTGTGATGAAGGGATGGGAGATGAGCTAGACTAGGAGAGGGGAGAACGTTCAAGGGGCAGCTGCCTTCATCCAGGACAATAATGGGTGGGCCTGGGGCTGGTGGGGGAGAATACTAATGCTCAGGTTGCCACTTCCACCATCAACGGTTCAAATTTCTATGCTTTTTCCAGCTTTAGAAAGATGATCCACAAATTGCCCTTCTTGTATCTCGCATTTTAACTCACAAGAGAAAGAACTATTCATTTGGAATGGATGCCCCAACCCAGCAGACACATAGAAGACCCATACCTTGCCCAGGCCCTGGGGATCCTGCTGAGGATATCAAGACAAATGAGATGTTCCTACCCTGGCACAACTCACCATCCAGAGCAGGAGTATCAGGGCCACTTAGTAGGTAATTTAATTTAGGGTTGGGGTTCCAGTGAAGCCAGATATAAGGAGCCAGTGAACCCTGAATCCATTTATGTGCTTAGGTAGAGGCATATTCACCATACGCTATTGATATGACTAGAGTGTTTGCCAATAACCAGGCATTCTTTGTGCCAGAGTACGTTCCCTTCCACCTTGGGGAATGGCTAGGAGGCTGGTTCTGGGGTGTACTTGGTGTCATTACTGGGCAGAGATGGTGAACAGCCCTTGGACAATTCTCCAGCCTTTCTCTCCCTAGCCTTGGAGGCTGTGGAGGCCTCATGTTGAGTTGAAGGAATCACAGGTTAGAAGCACTGGGATCCTTGAGTCGCAGCATGGAGGACAGCTGCCTTCGTGAGCTGTTACTGCTGACCCAGACCCACGCTAAACTTTGCTTGAATGACAAGTCCAACTTTGTTGAGGTAAATCCCTAGATTGGGGGATTAATTATTAAAGCAATTACTCTAGGTTATCTGGACAAGTACACCATAGATGAAGCCCTGCCTTGGTACCAGAACATTAAACAGA